CCTCCCTAATCTGACCATAATGTAACCAGTCTCGCACTTTGTCCTTTAATTTCTCAAAACTCTGCAATCTCCAAGTGTCTCCATCCTCTTCTACTATCTCCCAATATTTTGGCCAATTGGCCTCCATATTGAGTCTTTTCTGAGCCTTAGCTTCCATTGGAGTCTTACTCTCTAATAAATCTTTATATCTTGTCCAGACATTAAACAGTGTCTTCCTGACTATATGGTTCTTAAATGCTTTATGAGCTTTAACCTTGTCATACCACAGATATGCATGCCACCCAAACACATTGTTAAACCCTTCCAAATCCAAGATGTCAGTGTTTTCGAGAAGTAGCCAATCTTTCAACCAGCAGAAAGCTGCTGATTCATAATACAGTTTCATATCTGGCAGGGCAACCCCCCCCTATTTCTTTAGCATCAGTTAGTATTTTAAATTTTATTCTGGGCTTTTTGCCCTGCCAGACAAACCTAGAAATATCTCTCTGCCACCTCTTAAAACAGTCCATCTTGTCCACAATCTGCAAAGTCTGAAACAAAAACAACATTTTTGGCAATACATTCATCTTTATAGCAGCTATTTGACCCAGCAAGGAAAGCTTCAATTTTGACCAAATTTCTAAATCTTTTTTGATCTCTGACCAGCATTTTTCATAATTGTCTTTAAATAAATTCAGGTTTTTAGCCGTCATATTAACCCCTAAATATTTCACCTTTTTAACCACATTTAACTCTGTCTCCTTCTGAAACCTTTCTTTTTCCAAAGTTGTCAAGTTTTTTCCCAGAACCTTAGTTTTCTGCTTGTTTAATTTGAATCCTGCCACTCGACCAAATTTTTGGATCAGTTCTAACACCTTTTTCGTACTAGATTCTGGCTCCTGTAATGTCAAAACAAGGTCATCTGCAAAAGCCTTAAGTTTGTACTGTTTAGCTCCGACCTGAATTCCTTCAATCAACCGGTCTCCTCTAATCATAGTTCAAGAGCACCTCCAGGACCGAGATGAATAGCAATGGGGAAATAGGGCAACCCTGTCGTGTTCCTTTCTCAATTTTAAACTCTTCTGGCACCACATTATTAACTATCAATTTTGCCTTTTGTTCTGAATAAATTCATCTATACCATTTTCAAACCCCCGTCCCACTCCCATCCCTTTAAGATTTTTCTTCATAAAATTCCATGAAATGTTATCAAAGGCCTTCTCCGCATCTATAAAAATCAACACTGCTTTTGTATTAGTATTCATTTGCAATAGTTCCAAAATGTCAATGATGTTCCTTGTATTGTGAGACAAATGTCTACCTGGGAGAAAGCCTGCCTGGTCTTTATGAATCACTCCATTTAACACTCGTTTTAATCTATTAGCCAAAATGTCTGCAAAAATTTTGTAATCCACGTTTAAAAGGGAAATGGGACGGTAGTTCTTGAGTTGTGTCTTTTCAGTTTCAGATTTAGGTATAAGTGTGATGAAAGCTTCTTTCCACGTTTCCAGTGCCTTCTTCCCCTCCATAATCTCATTACATACCTCCTTCTTCCTTTAATACAGTTTTATAGGTAACCCAATTTTATTTCATATTTAATTTTTTCACTGCGACAATTTCTGCTGGCGATGCCCACCAGGGAGTTTTCGGTTCTAGGAGTCTTTTATATTTCTCCCATATTTTATATATAGACTTTCTGACTATATGCCCTAGGAAGCCTTTATGTACTTTGACTTTTTCATCTATTAGATAGGCATGCCATCCAAATCTCGTCTCTACTCTGTCTAAATCCAATACATCCGAGTCATCTAATTTGATCCATTCTTTTAGCCAGGTGAGACCCACCGCATCATGATATAACTCCATGTCTGGGAGACCAAATCCTCCTCTCTCCTTCTTATCTATCATTATTTTGTGTTTTATTCTTGGCTTTTTCCCTGACCATACGAATTTAGCCAAATCTCTTTTCCAGTTATTAAAACATTTATCTCCTCCTAGTATTGAGATACTTTGAAATAAAAACATCATCCTTGGTAATATGTTCATCTTTATTACCGATATTTTCCCTAGTAAGGAAAGATTTAATTTCCCCCATACTTGCAAGTCATTTTTTATTTCATTCCATGTTTTCCCATAGTTCTCATTACTTAAGTCTATAGTGTTTGTTGTTAAATTTATTCCAAGATACCTTATTTTCTTTTTAATTTCCAATCCTGTAATTTATTGTAATTTCACTTTATCTTTTTCTTCCATATTTTTCACTAGTATTTTGCTTTTCCCATAGTTTAATTTGTATCCTGCTAATCTGCCAAATTCATTTATGCATTCCAATATTCTAGGTGTACATTGTAGGGGATTTTCTGTTGTGATCATAACATCATCTGCAAAGGCTCTTAACTTGTATCTTTTTTCACCAACTGCTATTCCTCTTATTTGGTTGTCCTGCCTTATTTTCTTTAATAGAACCTCTAATACTATTGTAAATAGCATTGGGGATAGGGGGCATCCTTGTCTTGTACCTTTAGATGTTGATGTCTTCTCCAAACTCTCCATTAATAATAATTTTTGCTTTCTGTTGGTCACATATTACATTTATACCTTTTTGGAATTTTTCACCTAGACACAATTCTTTTAATAGTTTTTTCATGTCTATCTTAAAGATATTGTTTAGTTGATGGTACTGTAACCAGTCAGTTACAGCTTCCCTTATCTCTTCAAAATCTTTTTATTTCAGTTGGTTTTCAACTTCAGTTAAGAGTTCTCTATAAGTCGGCCAATTACTTCTCATATTCAATTTTTTTCAGAGATATTGCTTCCAAGGGGGAAAGCCACCAGTGTGTTTTTTACTCAAACAAATTTTTATACTTCTCCCATACCCTAAAAATTGATTATCTTCCTCTATGATTCTGAGAAGCTCTATGCATCTAGGCCTTTTCCTACCGTAAATATCCATGCTATCCATAATTCATGTCCTTTCAGGTGTAAAATACAGTTTCTGTGTTTTCCAATGTAATCCATTCCTGGTTCTAGCAGATATAGGATGCTTAATAATAAAGTTTCAAATCCAGCAGGGCAAAACCTCCTCTCTCTCTTACATCTGTTAATAATTTATTTTTTATCCTTGGTTTCTTCCCTTTCCAGATAAACCTAGATATATCTCCTTGCCATTTTTCAAAGCATCCTGTGTTGCCTATTGCCGGGACTGAATGGAATAAAAATAAGATTTTTGGCAATACATTCATTTTTATTACTGATATTCTTCCCCAAAATGATAAATCCATTCTTCCCCATATCTCTAAAGCTCTTTTTATTTCTTTCCACTCATTCTTGTAATTGTCTTTAAAAATATTAATATTCTTAGCTGTCAAACAAATCTCTCAGAATTTGACTTTGTTATGTATAACTAACTCTGTTTTCTGTTGTAATTCCTTTTGGCCTTGCTCCATTGTGCTTTTTACCAAAAACGTAGTCTTATTCTTGTTTAGTTTAAAGCCCCCGGCCTGCCCGAAGTCCCGTATCTTTTCTACCACATTCGGTGGAGTATTTTTGGGATTCTTTACTGTAATTACAAGGTGAACTGTAGAAGCTTTTAATTTATATGCTTTATTTTCTACTGTTATTCCTGTAATTAATTTCTCCACTTTTTCTCTCTCACCAGGGCCTCTAATACCAAAATAAATAATAATGGTGATAGGGGATATCCTTGTCTTGTCCCCTTCCTTATTTTACACTTTTCTTTTATAACCTTATTAACAATCAGCATAGACTGTTGGTAAAAATAAATTGCATCAATTCCTCTCCCAAATGCTTCCCCAAAATTCATTTTTTCTTTTATCTTTTTCATAAAAGCCCATGAAACATTATCAAAAGCCTTTTCAGCATCAATAAACATTAAGACCGCTTTTTTCTCATTTCTTACTTCCAAATATTCAATAATATCAATTATATTCCTTCATCTGACGTCCTCGTAGAAAGCAGGCCTGCTTGTCATGAATTTTTTCTGCTAAAACACCTTTCATTCTATTGCCCAAGATATGAGCAATACTCTAAATGGACTTCTATGGACTTCCATCCTACAGGAGTGATGGCCAACAACTTGGATAGCTTGAAAAAGAGGATTAGACTGAAAGCAGAGGAAGGCAGGGGGCTCTTGTACTCAAATCTTGCTTGCTGGTTTCCTGCAGGCATTTAGTTGACAACTGTGAGAACAGGATGCTGAGCTACGTGGGCCTTTGCCCAAATGAGCAGGCTGCTCTTATATTCTAATACAGGGATCCCCAAACTTGGCCTTCAAGATGTTTTTGGGACTACAACTCCCATCATCTGTAGCTAACAGGACCAGTGTTCAGGGATGATGGGAATTGTAGTCCCAAAACATCTGGAGGGCCAAGTTTGGGGGTGCCTGTTCTAATATATTGCAATATTTTAACAGTTACATGTGGCATAGTAACAAAAAGTTTTACTTCTTAGTCATAGGAGAGAGTGCTACTTGAGCCTGTGATCATTTCCTCCCTGGAGAAAGAGAAATACAGAGATGTGTCTAAGAAGCCAATTCCACCATCGATTATAAAATAATGCAGTTTATTAAGTGTGAATGGAGTGATCATGTGTTGTTCTTGCAATTATCTCACCTGCATTCCTAAAACTTTGGAACATAGAGAGGACAATGGAGAAATGAGACAGTGTTAAAATAAGAGAAGGTGCATACTGGGATTGAAATGTGTTCAGTTCCTTTCTTGTCTTTCCTGAAAGTCTTAACAGGATTCTCTTCCCCCTCCCCCACTCCCAAACAGGTGAGGAAGACGATGGCCAGAATTCTATGGAGTCATCTGTGAATTCATTGGGAAGAACAAAGAAACAGTTTAAATGCATGGAATGTGGGATGTTCTTTAGTCATAGTGGAAGACTGAGGACACATCAACAAATTCACACAGGGGAGAAACCATGTAAATGTACTGACTATCGAAAGAGCTTCAGGGACAATGGAACACTTAGAAAACATCAACGAACTCACACGGGATAAACCATTTGAATGTATTGAATGTGGAAAGAGCTTCAGTCGAAATGGAACACTTAGAATACACCAACGAACTCACACAGGGGAGAAACCATTTGAATGTATTGAATGTGGAAAGAGCTTCAATGATAGTGGAAACCTTAGACAACATCAACAAACTCACACGGGGGAGAAACCATTTAAATGTATTGAATGTGGAAAAAGCTTCAGTCAAAATGGAACACTTAGAATACACCAACGAACTCACACGGGGGAGAAACCATTTGAATGTATTGAATGTGGAAAGAGCTTCAGTGGAAGTGGAGACCTTAGAAAACATCAACGAACTCACACGGGGGAGAAACCATTTGAATGTATTGAATGTGGAAAGAGCTTCAGTCGAAATGGAACACTTAGAATACACCAACGAACTCACACAGGGGAGAAACCATTTGAATGTATTGAATGTGGAAAGAGCTTCAGTGGAAGTGGAGACCTTAGAAAACATCAACGAACTCACACGGGGGAGAAACCATTTAAATGTATTGAATGTGGAAATAGCTTTAGTAGAAGTGAACACCTTAGAATACACGAAGGAACTCACACGGGGGAGAAACCATTTAAATGTATTGAATGTGGAAAGTGCTTCAGTCAAAATGGAACACTTAGATTGCACCAACGAACTCACACGGGGGAGAAACCATTTAAATGTATTGAATGTGGAAAGAGCTTCAGTCGATATGGAAACCTTAGAAGACACCAACGAACTCACATGGGGGAGAAACCATTTGAATGTATTGAATGTGGAAAGAGCTTCAGTGGAAGTGGAGACCTTAGAAGACATCAACGAACTCACACGGGGGAGAAACCATTTAAATGTATTGAATGTGGAAATAGCTTTAGTAGAAGTGAACACCTTAGAATACACGAAGGAACTCACACGGGGGAGAAACCATTTAAATGTATTGAATGTGGAAAGTGCTTCAGTCAAAATGGAACACTTAGATTGCACCAACGAACTCACACGGGGGAGAAACCATTTAAATGTATTGAATGTGGAAAGAGCTTCAGTCAAAATGGAAACCTTAGAAGACACCAACGAACTCACATGGGGGAGAAACCATTTAAATGTATTGAATGTGGAAAGAGCTTCAGTCGAAATGGAAACCTTAGAATACACCAACGAACTCACATAGGGGAGACACCATTTGAATGTATTGAATGTGGAAAGAGCTTCAATGATATTGAAAACCTTAGACAACATCAACAAACTCACACGGGGAGACACCATTTAAATGTATTGAATGTGGAAAGTGCTTCAGTCAAAATGGAAAACTTAGAAGACATCAACGAACTCACACGGGGGAGAAACCATTTAAATGTATTGAAAGGGGGAAGAGCTTCAGTCAAAATGGAAACCTTAGAATACACCAACGAACTCACATAGGGGAGACACCATTTGAATGTATTGAATGTGGAAAGAGCTTCAGTCGAAATGGAACACTTAGAATACACCAACAAACTCACACAGGGGAGAAACCATTTAAATGTATTGAAAGGGGGAAGAGCTTCTGTCAAAATGGAACACTTAGAATACACCAACGAACTCACACGGGGGAGAAACCATTTGAATGTATTGAGTGTGGAAAGCGCTTTAGTCAATATGTACACCTTAGAAAACATCAACGAACTCACACGGGGGGGGAAACCATTTAAATGTATTGAATGTGGAAATAGCTTTAGTAGAAGTGAACACCTTAGAATACACGAAGGAACTCACATGGGGAGAAACCATTTAAATGTATTGAATGTGGAAAGTGCTTCTGTCAAAATGGAACACTTAAAGAAATGTAAAGTATTGCACTTGGGCAAAAAAAATGAGAGGCACAAATACAAGATGGGTGACACCTGGCTTGAGAGCAGTACATGTGAAAGGGATCTAGGCGTCTTGGTTGACCACAAACTTGACATGAGCCAACAGTGTGACGCGGCAGCTAAAAAAGCCAATGCAATTCTGGGCCTCATCAATAGGAGTATAGCATCTAGATCAAGGGAAGTAATAGTGCCACTGTATTCTGCTCTGGTCAGACCTCACCTGGAGATTGTTAGCCGCTTTGAGACTACTGAAGGGGAGTGAAAGGCGGGATATCAAATCCAAACTCCTCCTTTTCTTTTCTATAAGTTTTCCCATTTTTCTAAATCAATTGAATGACCGATATCTTGTGCCCATTTGACCATGACATCTTTAAACTCTTTGTCTCTTAAGTGCCAATTTAATAATAGTTTATACATTTTGGATACATTTTTATCATCATTTATAATCATTTTTTTGTCTATTTCGGATAATTTTGTATCAAATCCATTTACATTCTTGTCTTCCTCAAAAATTGGATTTAATTGATGGTATTGAAACCAGCCTATTCCTGTATGTCTTATTTCATATTTTTTTCATTTGTAATCTACTATTTACTTCCTCTAAAAGATCTTTATACATCAACCAATTTGAATCCATATTTTTTCTTTTTACTGCCTCTGCCTCCATTGGTGACAACCACCATCGGGTTCTTGGTTCTAATATTTTTTTGTTCCTTTCCCAAACTTCATATAAAGGCTTTCCCTAATAATGTGATTTAGGAATCCCTTGTGGATTTTTGCTTTATTGTAACCCGGGTAGCCGTGCCACCCCACTATATTATCCCAGCCCTCAATGTCCAATAATTTAGTATTCTTCAAGATCATCCATTCCTCGAGCTAGACCAGGCAGGCAACTTCTCTCTTTTTTTTTTAAAAAAATAATTTTTATTAACAGGCCAATCACATCACATTATCCAAATCACATTAGTTTCAAATTATACAGCCAAATTTTAAATTTTGTTGGGGGTACCCATACATCAAGCTCCGCACGAGTCCAAAACTCCGAACGAGTCCAAACATCACTTATATTACTGCTTTAATTAGACAGTTCTATCCAGTTCAATCCAGATAGTCCTTTAATTACTTTCTTTCTCTTCTTGTTGTTATCGTATATTCCTTTCTTTATGATCTCTGACAATTTTCACAAGCAGATTGAAAACAGGCATCCTCTGTGTGGGTTTTGTACTGTCCAAAGATCATATCACTCAGGGACAGCCTCTGTTCAGCGCTTCCATAAAAAAATTAATCTTCGGTCTGTCCTTTACTTTTCTCAGGCTTGCCAAATAAATCAAATGAGTCAGGAGGCTCTGTCAGGTCAAGTTTGCGTTCCAACATTCCTTCTCTTTCGAATAATCCTGATTCTCCTCCCCCTGTCCTTCTTTCTCCGGCAAGCCTGTCTTGGCGAGATGCCATTTTTTAACTGCGTCATGAAAAATTTCCTCTTTCTCACTGTTCACCAATCCTCTCTCCTGTTATAATCCATCCCACACAGTTCTTGAATTCCTGCTTGTGATTAATAAAAACGCAACGATCTTATTTCTATCTGGGGTGAAGGGTTATTAATATCACATCGTGCAAACAAAAAAAAAGTTTTTTCCTCCACCCCCCCCTTCATTCCAAACATACAGTCGCCTAGTGGTGATTCATCAGAAGATTTACTTATCCATCTGTCACTCCCGGTCACAGAGATCCATTAATCAGCACTCTTATCTCTCGAACATTACTTGATATATGTGCTTCAGCTTCATTCCAATCGTATGTTTCCAATTATAATTCCGAGCTGAAGCTAACCAGCACGCGCTCATTGGAATCGGTGTCAGGAAGATCTGAAGAAGAAGAAGAAGAGTTTGGATTTGATATCCCGCCTTTCACTCCCCTTCAGGAGTCTCAAAGTGGCTAACATTCTCCTTTCCCTTCCTCCCCCACAACAAACACTCTGTGAGGAGAGTGGGGCTGAGAGACTTCACAGAAGTGTGACTGGCCCAAGGTCACCCAGCAGCTGCATGTGGAGGAGCGGAGACAGGAACCCGGTTTCCCAGATTACGTGACTACCGCTCTTAACCACTACACCACACTGGCACCACTTCACCGAGGGCTCGTGCCAAGTGTTCGGCACCCCCATCTCTCGGATCAGGGGGTGCACTGTGAACACCACTGGCAAGGCAGTGCCCCCCGTCTCCTGGGGGGGGTAGGAAGACTGCATACCTCCCATAGCAGTCCCTTATTTACCTCGTATGGGCCAGAGAGATGTTATTGTCGGCCATCTTCCAACGCGCCACCTGGTGGCCCCCAGGCAGGCAACTTCATAGTAGATCCTAAAATCTGGCATTCCAAACCCTCCTTTGTTTTTGGTTACTGTTAATAGTTTAAATTTAATTCTGTTTGTTTATTTTTGTTTTTTTTGCCCTTCCAAATGTATTTCGCCAAATACCTGTGCCATTCCTTAAAACAATTTAAGCCATTAAGAACCTCAATTGACTGAAAAAGGAACTGCATTTTTGGTAAAACTACCATCTTGATTGTAGAAATTCTTCCCCACAACGTGAGTTTTAATTTACTCCAGATTTCTAAGTCTTTCCTAATTTTGCTCCATACCTTAATATAATTGTCTTTCTATAAATTAATGTTTTTCATGGTTATCCAAATTCCTAAATACTTTGCTCTGTAATTTTAAGTCTATTTCTAACTTTATTTTTTCTTGTATATCTAATTATTTTACCAGGAGTTTTGTTTTTTCTTTATTAATTTTGAATCATGATAATTGTCCAAACGCCTTTCTTTTTCCTTTCCTTTCCTTTTATTATAATCATTTTTATTGATTTTCTTTCTTACAACAAATATTCATCACCATCACTAAATCTTCCTATATCTCATCATAGTCTTTCAATTTTAACTTTCCTTCTTGTTCTATTAGTAATTCTCTGTATGTTGGCCGTATTCCTTCCATTGTTGATGTGTTAAGTGATAGTGCTTCAATGGGTGATAGCCACCATGGAGTTTGGGGTTCCAATAATTTTCTGTATTTTCCTCATACCTTTATTAAAAAACTTATTATTGTATTGTGGAGTCTTTTGTGTACTTTTGTTTTCCCATACCACAAATATGCATGCCAACCAAATCTGTGGTCATGTCCTTCCAGTTCTATTGCCTCTTCTTTCTCCAATTTAATCCAATCTCGAATCCGAGTAAGACAAGCTGCTTCATAGTAAATTTTGAGATCTGGAAGGGAAAAGCCTCCCCTTTCTTTTAAGTCTGAGTTTTGTATTTTATTATTGGCCTTGTTTTTTCCAACATTACTACAACAACAACAACAAACAACAACAACAACAACAACAACAACAACAACAATAATAATAAAATAGTAATAATAACAACAATAATTTATTATTTGTACTCCGCCCATCTGCCTGGGTTTCCCAGAGCAGCCTTTTCAACCTGTGGTTCCCCAGATGTTGCTGAACTACAACTCCCATCACCCCTAGCTAGCAAGGCCAGAGCTCAGGGATGATGGGAGTTGTAGTCCAACAACATCTGGGGACCCACAGGTTGAGAACTGCTGCTGTAGAGGGTTTTCTGTTGGAATTATTAGATTGTCTGCGAAGGCTCTGACCTTATAGGCCCTTTGTCCAACTTTAATTCCTTGTATTCTAGGGTCTTCTCTTATTGCTTTAAAATATACTTCCAGAAGTGTGATAAAGAGGAGAGGAGAAAGAGGGCAGCCCTGTCTTGTTCCCTTAGAGATATTAAAATCTTCTGATATTTCACCATTGATAATTAGTCTGACCTTTTGGGAATTATAAATCGCTTTTATGCCAGTACATATTTTCTCACCCAAACTCGTCATTTCCAAAGTTTTTTGCATGAATGCCCCTGAAACATCAAATGCTTTCTCCGCATCCACCAAGAGCAGGGCTGCCTTTTTATCTGGTCTCATTCTAGGTAGTTTATTGTATCTACTAAGAATCATAAAGGTAAAGGGACCCCTGACCATTAGGTCCAGTCGCAGACAACTCTAGGATTGCGGTGCTCATCTCACTTTACTGGCCGAGGGAGCCGGCTTACAGTTTCCAGGTCATGTGGCCAGCATGACTAAGCCGCATCTGGCGATTTGGAGCAGTGCACGGAAACGCCGTTCACCTTCCCGCTGGAGTGTTATGTAATAAAAAAATTTAAGGCCTTTTATATATAATAGGTAAAGGTGCCCCTGCCCGTACAGGCCAGTCTTGACAGACTCTAGGGTTGTGCGCTCATCTCACTCTAGAGGCCGGGAGCCAGCGCTGTCCGCAGACACTTCCGGGTCACGTGGCCAGCGTGACGAAGCTGCTGTGGCGAACTGGCACCAGAGCAGCACACAGAAACGCCATTTACCTTCCCACTAGAAAGCGGTACCTATTTATCTACTTGTACTTAAGGGTGCTTTCAAACTGCTAGGTGGGCAGGAGCTGGGACCAAACGACGGGAGCTCAGCCCGCCGCGGGGATTCGAACTGCCAACCATGCGATTGGCAAGTCCTAGGCGCTGAGGTTTTACCCACAGCGCCACCCGTGTCCCTTTTATATATAATAGATGTTCATAAATGTACCAACCAAACACGTACATAGATACGTGGACCACGTCTCTGGAGCAGCACAGGAAGACTGTCCTGAAACCATTTTGACTCCCAAACTGACGAAATGTATTCTCTGCAAGGAGGGAGGGGTGAGGGGCCTTCCCATTGTCTCAGGAATTGGGTAATCACCGTCTCAAAGGAATCGCCAGACTACCAGGAAAGGCAATCAGATAAGACATTATGACATAACCTGGCAGACAGGAAAAACAACAACATTCAAAGTTCTGTTGTTGACCACCATTTCTGTGGTGTAAGTATGATGTTGGTGGGGGTGGTCTTGGGTTACACCCCTTCTGTGATGTATGTATGATGTATGGAGGGGTGGTCTTGAGCTCCAGGGCAGGGAATTTAAAAGGGCTATATAATGGCAGGCACACCTTTGTCCGGGGTCCTTTCTCCTGCGTGTGAGGGGAGCAACCTGTTGCAACAGTTCAATAAAGATCAGGCTTACTAGCTGCTTTGCTTCTCAATATTCTCTGGTTGGCTTCTTTGATTTTCTCCAACTGATGGAGAACCGGCAAAGGACTCTACAACGGCTCTTGTGACCCCCATAAGGGAATAAGGGCAGATTTTGTTTACAACAGGTACTTATTTATCTACTTGCAGTTTGATGTGCTTTCGAACTGCTAGGTTGGCAGGAGCAGAGACAGAGCAACGGGAGCTCACCCCTTCGCCGGGATTCGAACAGCCAACCTGATCGGCAAGCCCTTAGTGAGGACAATATATTCTTGCAGGAGCTGGGAGCCAAAGCAGGCACAGTCCAGCTGGGGCAAAGTATAAGTTTATATTCCCTATGCACACGTTCCCTCCCTCCTCTTCCCATTGGTTGGGTGCTACAAGGTTTTCCTTCCCCCAGTTATCAAATAACAGACAAGAGGCTGAGCGTGGAGAGAAACCTCTCCTTCCTTCTCAGAGTTGCTTCCACTTCCGGCTTCACCAGCAGAGATAAAATCGGGGTTTGCAAAGGAGGGAGGGAAGAAGGCGGGAAGCGAGGCTGCGTCGTGCGGAGGCGGGGGCTTCTTCCTAATCAAGCCTCCTAATTAAGCGCCCTCACGCCCTGCCTCCCACTCAGGGGCTTCCATTCCCGCCCCCGTTGCCTGGGATTTCGGGTGAGTGCAAAGCAAAGGGCGGGGAAGGAGGGAAGGGGCTTTGCGAGGGGGTCCAGGATGAGAAGCCCCCGGACGGGAAAAGAGAAGGGAGGAAAGGGAGCTGTTTCCTTAAAGGGGGCCTTGAAGGGGAGGGGGGGAGAAGCTTCCTCCTGCAGGGATCTGGTGCAAAGGGAGGAGGCGGGCGAGGGGAGAGGGGTGGGCAATGCTGGCCAGGATCGTCTTAATACTATTAAATTTAGTATCTATACCCCAGCAGAAGACCCCTCGGAGGAGGACCTTATCTTTAGGCAACAGGCGATAGCATTCCTCTTCTTCCAGGCGTTTGGCATATTAAAAACAATCTATGGACTGCACAACTGCATGGGGGGGGGGCGAGGGTTGTCGTTTTTATTTCTTACTCTGCTATGCAACTCTGTTTTTCTCTTGTAAGCTGCGCTGTGATCTTTGGAGGAAGGGCAGTATAGAAATGTGAAGAATAGCTGTAAAAATAGGAAGCCCTGTTGTGTTCAAGGGGGGAGGGTTGGGACAAAGTCTCTGATCAGCATGCATAACAGGATGGGCTTAGGAGGGAATAAAACTAATAATAATAATAATATAATAATAATAATAAAAATAAATAATTCATTACTTGCCCCCTGCCCATCTGACTGTGTTGCCTCAGCCACTCTGGGCGGCTACCAACAAAATCACCAAAAAATTTAAAACATTAAAAACTTCATGTACAGACTGCCATCAAAAGACTTCCATTTTGTAGAAATGGCCTTTGAATATAAAGAAATGCCCTCTTTAAGGAATCCCATGGTGTAAACGTGTATGTTGTCCTCTAGGTCCAAACGCATAGTATTAGCAAGCAGTGCTCCAAAGTGCTTCTCTGGTGAACTTGCCATATAAGTTGTTTACTCCTGACCAAAACTCCTGTTTCCCAAAAGGACTGGAGGGGGAGGTCTCCTCATCACTTTTAACCCCCCCACTCCCACCGCATGGAAGGCAGGGGACGTGTTCATCCACAATCCCAGTAAACCATGAAGTGAACCAGGCGCTGCAGCTCCTTCCCCTCTCACTGGGCTGCAGAGGAGGAAAGGGATGGGTTTGAAGGCTCTTCCTGCCTCTCTCCCCTGAGTTACAAGAGCAAAGGGTGTTTGTAGTGCAGACAGAGGAGGAGTCAGGGAGGACAGAGGGAGCAATGGGCGGATCCCCCGCCCCTCCCAGGGGGTCCAGATGCAAGCAAGGGGCTTCCTTCTTCTCCATGCAAGGGCCACCCATGTATTCAGAGCAGTCCTTTGCAGATTAATTCTTAAATTCCAGGAGATCTACTCTCAGGCCACTAATGTCATACCATGCCAGCCTTAGGAAGGGAGATGGGACAGGCAGGTGAAAGGAATTGCCAAAGGTGTTTGAAAATGGGTGGGGGCTCTTGGGAAGGGGGTGCCCAATTGGGGCTTCTCCAGGGGCAGCAGAATGTCTTGGGCAGGAGAATCCCTGCAGGGGCTCTCAGTCTCCCTTTGCTTCTTCTTCCCTCCCTCCCAGGAAGCTGCAACTTGCTCTGGATTCTGCACTCCTCAGGAAGCTGAACCTGCAAACCTAGCTGAGACTGAACCTGCAACCCTGGCCAGGATGGAAGGAGGAAGATGGACGGGTGACCTGGTCAGGCTGTCTCCCGCATCCCTCCCCACAACCTCTGAGCGTTCCCTCCCAGGACCCTTGGAGAAATCTGGTGAGTTCCAGGGGAGAGGAGATGGGGACAGGGATAGAGGGATGGTGGAGGGAGAAAGAGGAAAAGATGGAGAGGAGACAAATGGAACAAAGTTCATGATATTAAGGAGGAGGGGGGTGAGGCCTTCTCCAAAGCAGCTCTTTGTTTCTTGAATCCCTTTCATAAAGTATAGTGGTACCTCGGGTTACATACGCTTCAGGTTACAGACTCCGCTAACCCAGAAATAGTACCTCGGGTTAAGAACTTTGCTTCAGGATGAGAACAAAAATCGTGCTCCTACGGCGCAGCAGCAGCAGGAGACCCCATTAGCTAAAGTGGTGCTTCAGGTTAAGAACAGTTTCAGGTTAAGAACGGATCTCCGGAACAAATTAAGTACGTAACCAGAGGTATCACTGTAGTGGGGGCAGATTTTCTTCCTCCAGGATTTTAAATCTTAGGCGTTATAGTGGTACCTTGGTTCTCAAACATAATCGGTTCCGGAAGTTTTCCAAAACCAATGCATTCCAAAACCAAGGCGTGCTTTCCCATAGAAAGTAATGCAAAATGGATGAATCCGTTCCAGACTTTTAAAAACAACCCCTAAAACAGCAATTTAACATGAATTTTACTATCTAACAAGATCATTGATCCATAAAATGAAAACAATAATCAATGTTCTGTACCATAAAATAAATAAGACAGCATTGTAGATGATAAAAATTAAAATTAAAACAAAAAACAAGCCACAGTCAAAAATGAAAAGGCCACACAAACAAAAATGAAATAATGGGAAAAAACTAAAGCACCAAATGTCACCTCAGAACACTGCAACCAGTAACGGCTTTAATATTGATAAGGTGGGGGGCTTAAATTTGCTGCTCAAGGATGCAACTGGGATGAAAAAAAGCCTTAATTACAATGGGGGGTGCGACTTAAATTTGCTGTGCAGCAATCGGGAAGGATAAAATTTAAGCAATCAGCAGCAAAAAAACTCTTATACACAAATCCTGCTTGCTGGTTTCCCACAGGCATCTAGTAGGCCACTGTGAGAACAGGATGCTGGACTAGATGGGCCTTTGCCCAATTGAGCAGGCTTTTCTTATGTTCTAATACAGGCATCCCCAAGCTTGGCCCTCCAGATGTTTTGGGACTGCAACTCCCAACGTCCCTAGCTAACAGGACCAGTGGTCAGGGATGATGGGTTTTGTAGTCCCAAAACATCTGGAGGGCCAAGTTTGGAGATGCCTGTTCTAATATACTGCAATATTTTTACAGTTACATGTGGCATAGTAACACTAAAGTTTTACTTCTTAGTCATAGGAGAGACTGCTACTCAAGCCTGTGATCATTTCCTCCCTGGGAAAAGAGAAATACCGAGATGTGTCTAAGAAGCCAATTCCACCACAGATTATAAAATAATGCAGTTTAGTAAGTGTGAATGGAGTGATCATGTGTTTTTCTTGCCATTATCTCACCTGCATTCCTAAAAGTTTGGAACATAGAGAGGACAGTGGAGAAAGGAGACAGTGTTAAAATAGGAGAAGGTGCATACTGGGACTGACGTGTGTTCAGTTCCTTTCTTGTTTTTCCTGAAAATCTTAACAGGATTCTCTTCCCCCTCCCCCACTCCCAAACAGGTGAGGAAGATGATGGCCAGAATTCTATGGAGCCAACTTTGAATTCATTGAGAAGAACAAAGAAACAGTTTAAATGCATGGAATGTGGGATGTTCTTTAGTCACAGTGGAAAACTGAGGACACATCAACGAATTCACACAGGGGAGAAACCATTTAAATGTAAGGACTATCAAAAGAGCTTCAGGGAAAATGGAACTTTTAGAAAACATCAAGGAACTTACACAGGGGATAAACGATTTGAATGTATTGAATGTGGAAAGTGCTTCAGCCAAAATGGAAAACTTAGAATACACCAACGAACTCACACAGGGGAGAAACCATTTAAATGTATTGAATGTGGAAGGAGCTTCAGTGAAAGTGGAGCACTTAGAAGACACCAACGAATTCACACGGGGGAAAAACCATTTGAATGTATTGAATGTGGAAAGTGTTTCAGTCAATATGGAACACTTAGAATACACCAACGAACTCACATGGGGGAGAAACCATTTGAATGTATTGAATGTGGAAGGAGCTTCAGTGAAAGTGGAACACTAAGAGAACACCAACGAATTCACACGGGGGAAAAACTATTTGAGTGTATTGAATGTGGAAAAAGCTTCAGTCAAAATAGATACCTTAGAATACATCAACGAACTCACACGGGGGAGAAACCATTTGAATGTATTGAATGTGGAAAGTGCTTCAGTGATAGTGGACACCTTAGAAGACACCAACGAACTCACACGGGGGAGAAACCATTTGAATGTATTGAATGTGGAAAGTGCTTCAGTGCAAGTGGAGTCCTTAGAAAACATCAACGAACTCACACAGGGGAGAAACCATTTGAATGTATTGAATGTGGAAAGAGCTTCAGTCGATATGCATACCCTAGAAGACACCAACAAACTCACACGGGAGAAACCATTTAAATGTACTGAATGTGGAAAGAGCTTCAGTCGATATGTAACACTTAGAATACACCAGCGAACTCACACAGGAGAAACCATTTAAATGTACTGAATGTGGAAAGAGCTTCAGTCCATATCGACACCTTATAAGACACCAACCAACACACGGAGAAGAAATCATTTTAATGTATGGCATGTGGAAGGAGCTTCAGCAAAAGTAGAGCACTTAGAATACACCAACTAACTCATACGGGGGAGAAACCTTTGGAGCATATTGAATGTGGGAAGAGCTTCAACAGGGAGGATAAACTTACATTACATTGGCGAACTCCCACAGGGGAGAAGCTTAAGTCAATATGGAACCTTAGGAAACACCCGCTAACTCACATGGGGAAAACCAGATTTATGAAACGTGTAAAAAGCTTCAGAGGGAGTGGAGACCTTAATATTCATAAGATAATTCACACAGGTGGGAAACCATATAAACGTATGAAGAATTGGCAGTGTTTGTTTCAATAATAATAATATTTTTTATTTGTACCACGCCCATCTGGCTGGATTTCCCCAGCCACTCTAGGTGGCTTCCAACAAAATATTGAAATACAATAGTTCTTTCAATACCAGTGTTATGTGGTCCCGGAGGCCACTCCCAGTCACCAGTCTAGCTGCCGCATTCTGGATTAATTGCATTTTCTGGATCACCTTCAAAGGTAGCCCCACGTAGAGCGTACTGTAGTAGTCCAAGCGGGAGATAACTGGAGCCTGCACTACTCTGGCAAGACAGTCTGCGGGCAGATAGGGTCTCAGCCTGCGTACCAGATGGAGCTGGTAAACGGAATTGACCTGCGCTTCCATTGACAGCTGCAAATCCCAAATGACTCCAAGTCTGCGCACCTGGTCCTTTAGGGGCACAGTTACCCCATGCAGAACCAGGGAGTCCTCCACACCTGCCTGCCTCCTGTCTCCCAAAAATAGGACATCTGCCTTGTCGGGATTCAACTTTAATATGTTAGCCGCCATCCATCCTCCAATCACCTCCAGGAACTCACACAGGACCTTCACCATCTTTACTGGTTCTGATTTGAAAGAGAGGTAGAGCTGGGTATCCGCATACTGATGAACACCCAGCCCAAACCCCCTGCTCTCTCACAGCGGCTTCATGTAGATGTTGAAAAGGATAGGGAGAGGACGGAACCCTGAGGCACTCCCCAAGTGAGAGCTCGGGGGTCTGAACACTCATTCCCCAACACCACTTTCTGAACACGGCCCAGGAGGAAGGAGCGGAACCACTGCAGTTCCTCCAGCTCCCAGCCCCTCTAGATGGTCCAGAAGGTTGTTATTGCCGATGGTGTCAAAAGCCTCTGAAAGATCCAGCAGATCTAGGAAATAACTCTCACCTTTGTCCCTAGCCCGCCGGAAATCATCGTGTCCAGGTCCGTTTCAGTCCCATGATGAGGCCTGAATCCCAACTGGAAGGGATCCAAATGGTCCACATCTTCCAGGCATCCCTGGAATTGTTCAGCAACCACCCACTCAATCACCTTGCGAAAGAATGGAAGATTTGAGACTGGGCGATAGTTGGCCGTATTGGCTGGGTCTAAAGATTATTATTTTTTTAAGAAGCAGTTTAATACTGTGGTGCCTCGGGTTACATATGCTTCAGGTTACAGACTCCGCTAACCCAGAAATATTACCTAGGGTTAAGAACTTTACTTCAGGATGAGAACAGAAATCGTACAGCGGCAGCAAGAGGCCCAATTAGCTAAAGCGGTGCTTCAGGTTACGAACAGACCTCCAGAACGAATTAAGTTCTTAACCAGAGGTACCACTGTAACCGCCTCTTTCAGTGTGTCTGGGAAGGCTCCCTCACAGAGAGAAGCATTCACCACCCCACGGAGCCCATCGCCCAGCCCTTCCCGGCTAGCTTTTATGAGCCAGGATGGGCAAGGATCAAGGAGACAGGTGGTTGGTTTCACTCATCCAAACACCCTGTCCACATCCTCAGAGGTAACAGATTGGAATTGATCCCACGCAACTTTACTAGACAGGACTCTAGCACTCCCCAGCCCCCGCCCTGCTCCCACGGGGGAGTCTACATCTCTTAATCTGAGTGACTTTATTTGCAAAAAACTTTGCAAAATCATTGCAGGAGATCATGTGGCCTGTACCGGGCGCCATTGGAGAGATGGTTCCATTAAATTGCAAACCACCTGAAAGAGTCTCCTGCTGCTGTTTTCTGCAAATGCAATGGAGGGGGTGAAGAAGGTGTTCTTCACCTTCGCTATTACCATTTGGTAGGCTTGATGTTGAGCTCTAACCCATGTCCGGTCAGATTCAGAATGAGGTTTCTGCTACTGGCGCTCTAGCCGTCTCGTTGCGCTCAGATCCATGGAAAACCATGGGGCTGTCTGGGCTCCATGCAATCGGAGTGGGCTCTTCATTGCCACACAGTCAATAGCCCTGGTTAACTCCACATTCCAACGGGCCACCAGGGAATCAGCTGAAAGGCCATCAGCATGGGATAAAACATCCCCTACCACTCTCTGGAAACCATTTGGATCCATTACGTTGTAGGGGCTTTCCACCAAAATCGGTCCCACGTCCCTGCAGAAGGGAAGGGTTGTGGAGAAGTCCAGTTGCATCAGGAAGTGATCTGACCATGACACTTCTTTAGATTCGCTTTTACTTAGTGTCTGATCACCAACATCCATAGAGGTGAACACCATGTCTAAGGCATGTCCACGACACAGTGTTGGACCAAACTTATTCAGGGACAGCCCCATGGAGGCCATGCTTTCCACAAAGTCCCAATCGGCCCCTTGTAAGGTTGTTTTGGCGTGAATGTTAAAATCCCCCAGGACAACCAAACTAGGTGTCTCCAGGAGAACATCTGCCACAACCTGAAGCAGTTTGGGCAGGGAATCCTTGGTGCAGCGGGGTGGTCGGTACACCAAAAGGAATCCTGTACTGCCCCTATTGTCCAACTTCAAGAACATTCACTCAGAGAACTGGGTCTTCCCAATAGGACGCCTGGTGCAAATTAATGACTTCCTACAAATCACTGCAAATCACACCCTTCCCCTGCCCACATGACTTGGGTTGCTGTGCGTAAGAGGAACCTGATGGACAAGCAGTGGCAAGGACAGGTCCACCTGCTTCATCCCACCAAGTCTCTGTTAAACATGCCAGATCAAGTTCTCCATCCACAATCAAGTCATGGATGGCAGTGGTCTTATGAATCATTGACCTGGCATTGCATAGCAGCACCTTCGGGTCATGTGGGTCTCCCTTGCTGATTCCAGTATCCATCCAAATGACACCAGACCCGGAGGCAGGGATAGTCCTCAAACTAAAATGGGGGGCCATGCTATTTGGTGACCCTCTTTTTTTTCTTTTTTAATTTATACTTCTACATCACACAAACAAGCATTGAATAAATTGAACAAGCAATAGAAAAGAGAAGAAAATGCCAAAACAAAATTACAAGGATCTAAACATAATATGCAATCAAAAATACAAAACATTATATTCTCTCCAAAAAAGGAAAAAGAACGAAAAACACCAAAAAAGAAAAAGAAAGGGGGGGGAATGACTTCTAACTAACTCCATGTGGCTCTTTATTCTTCATATCACTGGTTGTCTGTAATGATTAATTTTTTGAAGAATTATTCTAATTACCTGTGAGATTTTTATTCTAAACTAAGCCAAGTATGAATCTGGAAATCGGTTCTCTTCGTATAATTTATAAAGACTTTCCACTCTCTCCTTATTTTCTCATTAGAATAACTTCTTATTAAACCTGTAAGTCTGGCCAATTCAAGATATCCTGACAATTTAAGAACTCTTTCTTCTTTCGTTGGTGTTACGTTACATTTCCAATTTTTAGCCATTACTATTCTGGCTGCCGTTACTGCATACAAAAATTTTCTTTTGGTTTCTTTTGGGATGTCTGTTGTTAATAGGCCCAAAAAAACATTTCTGGTTTTTTGGGAAAAGTATGTCTTAACATTTTATTTAATTCTTCATTAATGGTATCTCAAAATTATTTAATTTTAGGGTACGTCCACCACATATGGAAGAAATTCTCTTCTTTAAGTTTGCACCTCCAACACTTTCCACTGGTGTTTTGGTACATTTTAGCCAATTTCGAGGGTTTAAGATACCATCTGTACATCATTTTTTAAAAAAAATTATTTTATTGTATAACATGCTGTAAATCTTATGTGGTGTGGTGTGGTGTGGTGTAGTGGTTAAGAGCGGTAGTCTCGTAATCTGGGGAACCGGGTTCGCGTCTCCGCTCCTCCACATGCAGCTGCTGGGTGACCTTGGGCTAGTCACACTTCTTTGAAGTCTCTCAGCCTCACTCACCTCACAGAGTGTTTGTTGTGGGGGAGGAAGGGAAAGGAGATTGTTAGCCGCTTTGAGACTACTGAAGGGGAGTGAAAGGCGGGATATCAAATCCAAACTCCTCCTCCTCTTCTTTTCTATAAGTTTTCCCATTTTTCTAAATCAATTGAATGACCGATATCTTGTGCCCATTTGACCATGACATCTTTAAACTCTTTGTCTCTTAAGTGCCAATTTAATAATAGTTTATACATTTTGGATAAATTTTTATCATCATTTATAATCATTTTTTTTGTCTATTTCGGATAATTTTGTATCAAATCCATTTACATTCTTGTCTTCCTCAAAAATTGCATTTAATTGATGGTATTGAAACCAGCCTTTTCCTGTATGTCTTATTTCATATTTTTTTCATTTGTAATCTACTATTTACTTCCTCTAAAAGATCTTTATACATCAACCAATTTGAATCCATATTTTTTCTTTTTACTGCCTCTGCCTCCATTGGTGACAACCACCATCGGGTTTTTGGTTCTAATATTTTTTTGTTCCTTTCCCAAACTTCATATAAGGCTTTCCCA